CTTCCGTGCTGCGCGTCTCATTTGATCCTCCCAGAGGCCCTGGCACATTATCTCTTCCTTCCAGACTAGGACCGGGCAGGCCAGCGAGGCCACGTGGCCTGTCCAGGATCCCACAGCTTATGGCGACACTGGGGAACGAAAGCCCCTCCATCAGGAGCTGGAGAGAGGCTGGGCCACCGCTGAGAGCACGCAGCCATCAGGAGGGGAGGGGAGGAGAGAGAACGGCTGGCCTGGGGAGAGGGAGGCCTGAGAGCTGGTGCCGCTCAGACATGGAAAGCTGATCTCCCCGTCATCCCTCCACCCTGTGAGCCTGCTTCCCCGTCAGTGAAGGAATTCCTCCTGTAGCACCTGTGCTGGTTCATTCAGTGCAAAGTTACTAAATATGCCCCATGATGTTGGGTCCTGGGGCAGAGGCAGGAGCTGGGCAGGGCCCCTGCCTTGCAGGTGCGCAAGTGGGGCTGGAGAGACGGACAAGCTGTACAGAAGATGGGGTCCCACATAAGGAGCCTGTCACAGGGGTTCCGGGGTGGTGGTGGGGGGAGGGGGAAGCAGTGTCGGAGGCAGGTGGGAGGTACGTGGCTGCGTCTTTCAGGAGACGGGTCCTCCAGGCATGCTCATGTGGCAGGAGCAGTGTGTGCAGAGGCCCTGAGTGAACAGCAGTGGGGGCTGGAAGGAGCTCGCACCACTGGACACAGGTGGAGGATGGCAAAGGGTGGGTGAGATTGGCAAGGTGGAGGGATGAGGGCAGGCAGGAGGGAGGGCCGCAGGGAAGTTGGGGCTGTCCTGCTAGTGCCCGGCTCACACAGAAGACGGCCGTGCCGCGGCCCCGGCAGGTCCGGCAGGGGAGGCCTGGCTTTCCTGACTCTGGGTTATCCGTGGCCTTTGGTGCTTATGCCTGGAACTGCAGGGAGAGGGCAAAGTTCAGGGGCTGGTGGCTCAGTGACCCCAGGGGCATTGACTCAGTGGATGGAGTGGGAAATGACCCCAGGGCAAATGCAGGGGCGGGAGGGTAGTCAGCATGAGGTGCAGGCTGTGCAGAGGCCGGGCCCAAAGAGCCTGCATAAGTAGGCCAGGGTCAGCCTGGCTGGCAGGGGTGAGGCAGGAGGGGTGGCTGGACTCGGTCAGACGCTCAGCAGCCAGGAGTGGCCCAGGTTCTCCCAGGCCCCGGCCCAGCGGAGCTTTCCCCTTTCCTACCCTCCCCCACCTCCCGCTTCCCTTCTGTCCTCCCCAGGAGCAAGCCTTCCCAGCAGTGTTGGCTGTGTAGCCTGGAGGGGCGCCAGCACCCCCACCCTCCAGCAGCCGGGCTGTGTGACCCCAGCCAGCTCGCTCTGCTCCCGGGGCCCTGTGGGCTCTGAGCACTGGAGCTGCTAGGGCTGATATCTGGGCTCCTGCTTTCAGCTTCTTTGATCTAATTCTCGCAGCTTAAATTGCTTCCTGAGAGGCCCTGCAGAAACTGGAAGCCGCGTTGCTAATGACTCTCCTGGGTGGCCCTGTGCCAGAGGCCCAGGGACTGGCGCCCCAGGCTCCCCCGTCTCTTGCCTTCCGGCCCTCAAGGCCGGGAGGCTGGGTGGGAGCCGGCAGAGTTATGGGCCTTCCTGGGCAGAGGAGTGGCAGAGAGGTGAGGTGGCCAGCCTGAGGCCACAGCAGTGCAGCAAGCCGTCCCAGTAGGATGTGGGGGCAGAAGATGAAATGGCTGTGGGTCCAGTGCCGAGGACAAACCAGTTCTCAGCCTGGAGCAGGGAAGCAGGGTCACAGGCCCGCCGGCTCTCCCTGTTGTCCCTCATGTTCCAGGTTCATTGCCCATTCTCACCTCCTTTCCTTCCTGCTTCTCCCTTCCCTGCAGATCCCCCTTTCCCTTCCCGGAGGCTGACGCAGCCAGGGTGTGTGGGGGGTGAGCCTTGCCCTGCCTGGGACTCAGCCCTTCTTCCTGCCTTGTGGGGTCGCCAGGCCAAGGGGGAGACCCCAAAGTCGGAGGATATGGCTTTGAGTCAGACTCAAAGTCACCTCCCCTCATGAGCCTCAGTTCTCCTGTCTGAGAAATGGAAACCAGAAAAGGCCTGCCCAGCGTTGTTTGCAAATGCCACGCACACACCTCTGTCCTCACAGTTTGCACGTGGGAGGTGCCCTAGGAATGGGGCTCTCTCTCGGAAATGAGAGGTGGCCTGTCCCCTTCCCTTCTCCCCCCCCCCCCCCCCCCA